GCCAGTATCTGGTCTAGTAACTTTGTATTGTTGCAAGTATCTGGTCTAGTGACTTTGCAATGTTGCCGTTATCTGGTCTAATAACTTTGTAATGTTGCCAGTATCTGATCTAGTAACTTCGTAATGTTGCCAGTATCTGGTCTAGTGACCTTGCAGTGTTGTCAGTTTCTAGTCTAGTAACTTTGTAATGTTGCCAGTATCTGGCCTAGAAGCTTTGTAATGTTGCCAGTATCTTGTCTAGTAGCTTTGTAATGTTGCCAGTATCTGGTCTAGTAACCTTGCAATGTTGCCAGTATCTGGTCTAGTAACTTTGTAATGTTGCCAGTATCTGGTCTAGTAGCCTTGCAGTGTTACCAGTATCTGGTCTAGTAACTTTGTAATGTTGCCAGTATCTGGTCTAGTAGCCTTGTAATGTTGCCAGTATCTGGTCTAGTAACTTTGTAATGTTGCCAGTATCTGGTCTAGTAGCCTTGCAGTGTTGCCAGTATCTGGTCTAGTAACTTTGTATTGTTGCAAGTATCTGGTCTAGTGACTTTGCAATGTTGCCGTTATCTGGTCTAGTAACTTTGTAATGTTGCCAGTATCTGATCTAGTAACTTCGTAATGTTGCCAGTATCTGGTCTAGTGACCTTGCAGTGTTGTCAGTTTCTAGTCTAGTAACTTTGCAATGTTGCCAGTATCTGGTCTAGTAGCCTTGCAATGTTGCCAGTATCTGGTCTATTAACCTTGCAATGTTGCCAGTATCTGGTCTGGTAACCTTGCAATGTTGCCAGTATCTGGTCTAGTAGCCTTGCAATGTTGCCAGTATCTGGTCCAGATACTTTGTTATGTTGCAAGTATCTGGTCTAGTGACTTTGTAATGTTACCAGTATATGGTCTAGTAACTTTGTAATGTTGCCAGTATCTGGTCTAGTAACTTTGCAATGTTGCCAGTATCTGTTCTAGTAACTTTGTAATGTTGCCAGTATCTGGTCTAGTAACTTTGCAATGTTGCCAGTATCTGGTCTAGTAGCCTTGCAATGTTGCCAGTATCTGGTCTATTAACCTTGCAATGTTGCCAGCATCTGGTCTAGTAGCCTTGCAGTGTTGCCAGTATCTCGCCTAGTAACTTTGCAATGTTGCCAGTATCTGCTCTAGTAGCCTTGCAGTGTTGCCAGTATCTGGTCTAGTAACTTTGCAGTGTTGCCAGTATCTGGTCTAGTAACTTTGCAATGTTGCCAGTATCTGTTCTAGTGACATTGCAATGTTGCCAGTATCTGGTCTAGTAACTTTGTAATGTTGCCAGTATCTGGTCAAGTAGCCTTGCAATGTTGCCAGTATCTGGTCTAATAGCCTTGCAATGTTGCCAGTATCTGGTCTAGTAACTTTGTAATGTTGCCAGTATCTGGTCTAGTAATTTTGCAATGTTGCCAGTATCTGGTCTAGTAGCCTTGCAGTGTTGCCAGTATCTGGTCAAGTAGCCTTGCAATGTTACCAGTATCTGGTCTAGTAGCCTTGCAGTGCTGCCAGTATCTGGTCAAGTAACCTTGTAATGTTGCAAGTATCTGGTCTAGTAGCCTTGCAATGTTGCCAGTATCTGGTCTAGTAACCTTGTACTGTTGCCAGTATCTGGTCTAGTAACTTTGTAATGTTGCCAGTATCTGGTCAAGTAGCCTTGCAATGTTGCCAGTATCTGGTCTAGTAGCCTTGCAGTGTTACCAGTATCTGGTCTAGTAGCCAAGTAGCCTAGCAATGTTGCCAGTATCTGGTCAAGTAGCCTTGCAATGTTACCAGTATCTGGTCTAGTAGCCAAGTAGCCTAGCAATGTTGCCAGTATCTGGTCTAGTAGCCTAGTAGCCTTGCAGTGCTGCCAGTATCTGGTCAAGTAACCTTGCAATGTTGCCAGTATCTGGTCTAGTAACCTTGCAATGTTGCCAGTATCTGGTCTAGTAGCCTTGCAATGTTGCCAGTATCTGGTCTAGTATCCTTGCAAAATTGCCAGTATCTGGTCTAGTAGCCTAGTAGCCTTGCAATGTTGCCAGTGTCTGGTCTAGTAGCCTTGCAATGTTGCCAGTATATGGTCTAGTAACTTTGTAATGTTGCCAGTATCTGGTCTAGTAACTTTGTAATGTTGCCAGTATCTGATCTAGTAGCCTTGCAATGTTGCCAGTATCTGGTCTAGTAACTTTTCAATGTTGCCAGAATCTGGTATAGTAGCCTTGCAGTGTTGCCAGTATCTGGTCTAGTAACTTTGTAATGTTGCCAGTATCTGGTCTAGTAACTTTGTAATGTTTTGCCAGTATCTGGTCTAGTAACTTTGTCATGTTGCCAGTATCTGGTCTAGTAACTTTGTAATGTTGCCAGTATCTGGTCTAGTTACTTTGTAATGTTGCCAGTATCTGGTCTAGTAACTTTGCAATGTTGCCAGTATCTGGTCTAGTAACTTTGTAATGTTGCCAGTATCTGGTCTAGTAGCCTTGTAATGTTGCCAGTATCTGGTATAGTAACTTTGTAATGTTGCCAGTATCTGGTCTAGTAGCCTTGCAATGTTGCCAGTATCTGGTCTAGTAACCTTGCAATGTTGCCAGTATCTGGTCTAGTAGCTTTGCAATGTTGCCAGTATCTGGTCTAGTATCCTTGCAATATTGCCAGTATCTGGTCTAGTAGCCTAGTAGCCTTGCAATGTTGCCAGTGTCTGGTCTAGTGGCCTTGCAATGTTGCCAGTATATGGTCTAGTAACTTTGTAATGTTGCCAGTATCTGGTCTAGTAGCCTTGCAATGTTGCCAGTATCTGGTCTAGTAACTTTGCAATGTTGCCAGTATCTGGTCTAGTAACCTTGCAATGTTGCCAGTATCTGGTCTAGTAATTTTTAAATGTTGCCAGTATCTGGTCTAGTAGCCTTGCAGTGTTGCCAGTATCTGGTCTAGTGACTTTGTAATGTTGCCAGTATCTGGTCTAGTAATGTTTTAATGTTGCCAGTATCTGGTCTAGTAGCCTCGCAGTGTTGCCAGTATCTGGTCTAGTAACCTTGAAGTGTTGCCAGTATCTGGTCTAGTAACTTTGTAATGTTGCCACCATCTGGTCAAGTAAATTGGCAATGTTGCCAGTATCTGGTCTAGTAACTTTGCAATGTTGCCAGTATCTGGTCTAGTAACTTTTCAATGTTGCCAGTATCTGGTCTAGTAGCCTTGCAATGTTGCCAGTATCTGGTCTAGTAATTTTTTAATGTTGCCAGTATCTGGTCTAGTAGCCTTGCAGTGTTGCCAGTATCTGGTCTAGTAACTTTGCAATGTTGCCAGTATCTGGTCTAGTAGCCTTGCAGTGTTGCCAGTATCTGGTCTAGTAGCCTAGTAGCCTTGCAATGTTGCCAATATCTGGTCTGGTAGCCTTGCAGTGTTGCCAGTATCTGGTCAAGTAACCTTGCAATGTTGCCAGTATCTGGTCTAGTAGCCTTGCAATGTTGCCAGTATCTGGTCTAGTAGCCTTGCAATGTTGCCAGTATCTGGTCTAGTAACTTTGCAATGTTGCCAGTATCTGGTCTAGTAGCCTTGCAATGTTGCCAGTATCTGGTCTAGTAATTTTTTAATGTTGCCAGTATCTGGTCTAGTAGCCTTGCAGTGTTGCCAGTATCTGGTCTAGTTACTTTGCAATGTTGCCAGTATCTGGTCTAGTAGCCTTGCAGTGTTGCCAGTATCTGGTCTAGTAGCCTAGTAGCCTTGCAATGTTGCCAATATCTGGTCTAGTAGCCTTGCAATGTTGCCAGTGTCTGGTCTAGTGGCCTTGCAATGTTGCCAGTATATGGTCTAGTAACTTTGTAATGTTGCCAGTATCTGGTCTAGTAGCCTTGCAATGTTGCCAGTATCTGGTCTAGTAACCTTGCAATGTTGCCAGTATCTGGTCTAGTAATTTTTAAATGTTGCCAGTATCTGGTCTAGTAGCCTTGCAGTGTTGCCTGTATCTGGTCTAGTGACTTTGTAATGTTGCCAGTATCTGGTCTAGTAATGTTTTAATGTTGCCAGTATCTGGTCTAGTAGCCTTGCAGTGTTGCCAGTATCTGGTCTAGTAACCTTGAAGTGTTGCCAGTATCTGGTCTAGTAACTTTGTAATGTTGCCACCATCTGGTCAAGTAAATTGGCAATGTTGCCAGTATCTGGTCTAGTAACTTTGCAATGTTGCCAGTATCTGGTCTAGTAACTTTTCAATGTTGCCAGTATCTGGTCTAGTAGCCTTGCAATGTTGCCAGTATCTGGTCTAGTAATTTTTTAATGTTGCCAGTATCTGGTCTAGTAGCCTTGCAGTGTTGCCAGTATCTGGTCTAGTAACTTTGCAATGTTGCCAGTATCTGGTCTAGTAGCCTTGCAGTGTTGCCAGTATCTGGTCTAGTAGCCTAGTAGCCTTGCAATGTTGCCAATATCTGGTCTAGTAGCCTTGCAGTGTTGCCAGTATCTGGACTAGTATGTTTGTAATGTTGCCAGTATCTGGTCTAGTAACCTTGCAATGTTGCCAGTATCTGGTCTAGTAGCCTAGTAGCCTTGCAATGTCGCCAGTATCTGGTCTAGTAGCATTGCAGTTTTGCCAGTATCTGGTCAAGTAACCTTGCAATGTTGCCAGTATCTGGTCTAGTAGTCTTGCAATGTTGCCTGTATCTGGTCTAGTAGCCTAGTAGCCTTGCAATGTTGCCAGTATCTGGTCTAATAGCCTTGCAGTGTTACCAGTATCTGGTCTAGTAACTTTGTAATGTTGCCAGTATCTGGTCTAGTAGCCTTGTAATGTTGCCAGTATCTGGTCTAGTAACTTTGTAATGTTGCCAGTATCTGATCTAGTAGCATTGCAGTGTTGCCAGTATCTGGTCTAGTAACTTTGTAATGTTGCCAGTATCTGGTCTAGTAACTTTGCTGCACATGATTGCATATTCATAAATATTCGATTCTATTTGCCACGAATAACGAACTCAATTCATGAATGGATACGGTTCAATTCACTGAATATGCGAGTAAATCGTAACAGCCCTATTACTTACCTTCTCCTCTCGCCAACTCTGGAGCAGAGTACAAACTGAGGTTTGGAGGTATCCATGACAACGCATTCTGTTGCCGACACATGGCTCCGAGTCCGACAAGGTTCACACGCATATTGGAGCAGCTTATGATGACGTTGTCCGCTGGAAGACAAAGGATATAATTATAGTTCTTATCCAAAGGGACCCCGTGATCCGGGGGAGAATAGGTCTTCAGCAACCCATGCTTGCCATAACAGGCAACTATGCTTGTCGTAAGAGGCAAATAACAAATTAGGCGGTCAAGCTTGCTTACTTGGTTGATGCATGTCATCTTATCCCAAGTGCGTTGATTGATGCTCATGACATCAATCACTGGATTGTCTGGTTCTGACTCAATTATTTACAGACAGCAGTCATACAGCTGTATTATTACTGAGTCTGCGTTAAACAACAAACAAACAAACCTATCCAAAGAGAAATTTGGTTTCCATTGTTATAACTGCAGCAGGTAAACATAATATTCTTAAAAACCATACATAACAATCAATAAATATCATAACTAGTGTTGAACTTGTTTGTTTTTCAAAATATTGATGTAGAAAGGGCTGACTGAGGATTTCAACTGCTATGCAACAATTCAGTGCATGTTCTGAGAGATCAACAAGGACATGATAGCTGTTGTTCACTCAGCTGGCTTCACAGCTATCACAGCTTCATTTTCACAGCTTCATTTTCACAGCTTCAGTTTCACAGCTTCTAACATGCCACGTAAAGTTATAACAAATTGGTTCAGAGTAGAGTCCAAATTTACTACCGGGGTACCCACCTCCCTATAACCCGACCCTACCCGGGTACCCACTGAAGATCTCAGGGGATGTCTCAAAAGGTCTGATTGGGTACATTTTTAGCATAGCCCTGGCAAAACGTATTTAGATACATGTATTAAACACTCTGGTCATTCATACACTGAAGCTGAATTAAGTTGTATCTTTATTCAAACATATGAAAAGTCAGAAGGAATGGGTGCATAGACAGAAAGAAATGTGAACATTAGTGACTTGTAGTGTAACCATAGAGTTCTAGATAATTTTTGTCATTAAACAATATATCATGTGACTAACCACGGGTCCGGGTAGTCCTGTGGGTACCCGGGTCCTACTCGTTACCCACCCGTCCCGGGAACCCGAGTTACCCATCACAGCCCTAGTTCAGATGTTAGTGTTTAACGTCATTTTCACGATTAATTCACTCCTAGAGCAACATGCATGTGCAAGCAAGGATTATATCCTACCTAAATATTATCCCGAGGGAGTTTCATTCTTACACAGGCACTCTTGTGAGTGTCAGCTCATGGCTGTCCAGACTTAGGATTGTGTTTGCCCATGGAGATACCATGCCACAGTTTAACATGGATATTCCTCCCAGACACATTATACCATCTTCCCGAGGCAAGGGAGTTAAGTGACTGCAAAAGTCCAATTTCCAACCTTGACTAATCAGATTCCACTTCTCATATCACTTGCATTTGCTTCAAACAAAATGGTGTGCCCAGTCAAGACGATCTGATTGATGATAAAGATCTATATTGTAATAAAACATTCCTTATTTCGCAAAGTGCATTAAATCACGTGAGCACCTTGATTAAAAACATGAACAAATTTGGAAAACATCTGTTGATGCCGAGTTGGCGGAAGACATGATTCGCAAATCCTGCAATTGACTTTCATCTGTAAGGCAGTTTACAAACCGGAAGTCGATTTCATTTCGCGATTTTGATTGGACTATGCATAGACTCATTAGTCCAGCCAAAACATCACTCTGAATTCCAGCCTAGTTCAGCAAGGGAGGAAACTTGAGTCTTATAGTAGTCTGTCAACACCCTTGCCTCGGGAAGATCCATTATACTGAATCCTTGGTTTATCCCTCGGATACTGAGAGCCAGGAAGCCCCGGTAACAACAAATACCATTTCTTTGACATCTTGACTGGATCAATGACTAACAGAATGATTGTCGGCATCCTGATGACAGATGTTCATACACAGGGAACAGACCGACTACCGTATTTTCTTGAGTATAGTGCGCACTTTTTAAAAAAAAAAACACAGCTGTGTAGAAGGGGGTGCGCATTATACACAAATTAATGAGTTTTGATGTTTTTTCCCCCATGGAAAGACATTACCACGGGCACGTAAGTTCGTAACACCGGAAATACGATGTCAACAAATCCATACTGAAGTACGCAAATTAGTCATGTAATATCCATACTGAAGTACGCAAATTAGTCATGTAATTACACTGTCTGGCTATAAAAAGTGTTCTTTGTATATCTTGACTTATGTTTGTAACTTATATTATTAATTTTATTCAAAATTCCTTTTAATATTGTTTTAATTAATTTCTGCGAAATCGTGTGTGAAGCGATCGGAAGATCGCACAATTCACCGTTATTAACAGCAACCATGGTCAGATTACCGCTATTGACTCCTTGAAACGAACTTTAGTTGACAGAGAATGGATACATATATCATAAATGCCATACTGTGACTCGTTAAAAGTCATATTTCTTTTTGTTGGACGATTCTATGTCAACACGTAATTCTCGCGATCACGTGCACGGGAGCCTTGACGGTGACTGGTCAGACTGGTTCCATGTAAAAAATAATACCCGGCAATAGCGATCAGCTGCTTCGCTTAGGGTTATTATTATTTTAAATATGTTTAGTAAAAGCTGCATCTAAATTAACAAGATATTGGAATATATTATTCCTGATAAAAAAATAGTTTCAGATACAACTTTTGCCGATCCTTGCATTAAAATCCTGTAAAGTTATATCATTGGGTGTGTCTTGACCGAATCACCGGTAGATTCCAAGAAAACGTGTGTACAGCTGATTGCTGTGTCCGGCTTAGTTTACAAGAAAATACACAAGGTAATCTCAATCCCTGGATATAAAACAATGCCTAGCAGAACAATAAATACAATTTAAACGGTAAATCAACATGTCTGGTGATTTTTTATCTCAAATTTTGAATTTGTACTGACCAAGTTTCTCATCATCCGTTCGTTTGCCAGACTTCGCTAAAGGGGTACAGGTAAAAAAAATTCTGTGCTTGGTATTCAAATTTTTTTTTCTCCAAAATATTGAATCCGCTAGTGGGGGGTGCGCATTATACATGGGTGCTCACCATACACAAGAAAATATGGTATACTTGCATTCAGTATTTTAACCAAACCATCTGACTCCGGGTAATTCTAGGATTTAAAAACTCACACCTAAGGGACAACTCTTCACAGCAAATTGTAACCCCTTACATGCCCGGACCAACATCATGGTCAAATCATCCTCCAGGCTTGATTGTTGAGGAGAACAAATGTTATGAATGATTCTAACATGCACCAGAATAGAAAGCAACTCACGAGTAATGTTTCTATGAAGACAGTTGTGTGCTTGAAATATGGACAGGATGTTCAGCAGCTCGTATGTCAGGAGTATCACCTCTGGTGGCGTCAAACCTCGATCAACCCGTTTCAACAGATCAGTCAGAGTTTCACCTTCAACACAAAATACTTCAAATATACATAAAATGTCTAACATGTAGATAGATTGGGTAGGCTGGTTTAACAGTGTAGGTAGATTGGGTAGGTACCTTGTGCAGGTAGATTGGTTAGGGAGGTTGTGTAGGTAGATTGTGTAGGTAGATTGTGTAGGTAGATTGGGTAGGTAGATTGGGTAGGTAGATTGGTTAGGGAGGTTGTGTAGGTAGATTGGTTAGGTATGTTGTATAGGTAGACTGGGTATGTAGATTGGTTGGGGAGGTTGTGTAGGTAGATTGGGTAGTTAGGTTGTGTTGGTAGGTTGGGTAGGTAGGCCATGTAGGTAGATTGTGTAGGTAGATTGGGTAGGTAGGCTGTATAGGTAGATTGGGTATGTAGATTGGTTAGGGAGGTTGTGTAGGTAGATTGGGTAGGTAGGTCAGGTAGATTGTGTAGATTTTTCACTTTTAGTTTTTTCTTTGAAAAACAGTGAAAACAGTGATTTGCAGTCAATCATTAGAAACCCTGCTTTCAAATGGTGATAAAAGCTTTCGTGCAACGCGTGAAAAACATGATCATAATATGTGTCAGGCAAATTGGAAAATTGGTCTACAGATTATTGTAAATATTGAAAGTTATGCACCATGAAGTTTTTGCCAGTGGCTGACAATAGCCTTAACTTTGTCCTGAAAGTTTTGTTTGTTGTTGAACTGCAAAAATAACTCCATCATGAAACTATTGTGTGTGAGTGTCACTCGCAGTTTTCACAGTACTTTCCTGCTCAAAAAACTTTCCAGACTTACAGTACATATAGTCATAGAAAAGTATAGGACATAAGAAGGTAGATACCTTCGATGACCGGCAGGAAGACGTGGACCTTCCCCTGGCCCCAGGTCAGCCCCAGGGGCTTGACGACACTTGTGCCACACAGGAACGGAACTATCATCTGCTCTTTGGACCATTCAGTGAAGTAGTACTGTGTGAAATAAAAAGACACTTTCACGTGTGACTTAAGAATTAAAATCAAAGGTTCCTTGTCATAACCCTAAGTTAGATAGAGTTTTAGTTTGTTTGTTTGTTGTTTAACGCCACACTCAGCAATATTCCAGCTATATGACAGCAGTCTGTAAATAATCGAGTCTGGATCAGATAATCCAGTGATTGATATCATGAACATCGATCTGAGAAATTGGGATACGATGACATACATCAACCAAGTCAGCGAGGCTTACCACCCGATCCCGTAAGTCGCCTCTTATGACAAGCATAGTCGCCTTTTACGGCAAGCATGGGTTGCTGGAGACCTATTCTACCCGGGATTTTCATGGGTTTAGAGTCTTAGTGAGTCCCTGAATTCATATACTATATCAGAAATCGTCAAGGATCCTGGTAATCTTAGCAGGCCACTTGTAGACATGCTGGTTATTCTGATACTTCTGATAAGTTATCTATTTCTTACACATGGCATAAAATATATACTTTACCGCATACCTACAACAGAACCTCGATTTATATGGTAATAATGACATCATTGTTGATCATACCAAGAAAATGGAGCAAAAATTTTATTTGTTTTTATTTTCTTTGCGTTCACTTTGTATACACTTCTGATAAATGTTAGAATTATGTATTTATTTATGTCATTTTTATTTCTATATTTTCAAATGATTTGATCATGTTTCTCCTCATACATCCCATCTGCCCAAGGCAAGCGTGTTCACTATCCTATATCAAAGCCTAGTTTCTACCCTTGCCACATCAAGGCAACTTTTCTTGGCTTGACCCTGGCGCCACCTCACGTAGATCACGAGTTTTGCCCCTTGTAATGAAAATGCAATATCCAATCAGATCGCTGTTCTTAACTCGTAGACTGCGGTTGATTCTGTTCAGTTTCAACAGAGAATTGGGATGTTCCATTGTAAAATGTGTTGTGAAATGAGGGGTAAAATTGACGAAAGTACATACTATCTTATCATATTATTGTACATTGGCACAAGACGAATACAGACATCATTGTTTCTGCTGCTTTGTTGCACCAATCTACATCCACATCCACGACCTACAAATCCAAGTATTCATATACTCCTATTACTGTGTGTAGTCTTTATGACAAAATTTACCTTCAGTCAAGTGAACCAAAAAGAAATACTTAATTGTTTGTATTGACTATTAAAATACTGAAGTTTACCGTTTTTCTGATAAAGTTGAAATGGCCATTTGGTAGACGGCACCTGAGGGTTCTTTGGTTATATTGATGTACACAGACGTATTCATGGCCATATTCAAAGTGACCGTTTGACGGTTCCAGAAGATCCTGATTCTGGAAGAACAAGCATCCTTTAAATACCGAAAATTGAAATAAGAAATCATAATAATCTCATAGCACTTAAGCTCACCTGGAAATGACAGCTTGGGTTGTATACTCCCCAGGGAGTTGAGAATGGTAACTAGAATCCATACAGATCCACTTGAGCAGATACTAGTATCTGGATAAGTGAGGTAAATAAATGTATAATATGAGAGTGATATGTAGTCAGAAGTCGCTGACATGATTCATATTCATATATATCTCGGCATAAATCATGATAAATAGTGAGGGCTTATTAACAAATATGAAAATAGTAATCACCTTTCAAGCTTCCTGATTTTTAGGATCAACAGATCCATGAACAAAACCCCTAAATATCATCATATGAAAAAGTTTCAGAAACCATGACCAAAACTACACCTGGCTGCCATCCATTAAGTGAAACAAAATGCCTCACACGATTTGCCAATCGTCATTAATTTTTTCCGGAAATGAAGGATAATTGGGGTTTTTTTTGCAATGATATATAAAACCAGATTGGAATCATTTAACAAACCGGTCATTTATAATAGGGGGGTCGGGGGTCAAAAGGAATCAGAGTGGGGTCAAAAAAACATACGACAGTCTCTAGGGGAGGGTCATAAAATATAAAACACACATTTGTAGGAGGGTCATGAAAAAAGTGTACAAGGACATGGGGAGGGTATTGCAAATATACGACAAGCATATATAAGATTTTGATTATTTTTATTACCGTAGAGCATAAAAAAACAGAGGCTTGTGGGAACAAGCGTGGGAGTTCCTTCAGCATTGTTCTTTTTTTTCTATGGAGAAAATTTTTGCAGATGTTAAAAACTAGGGCACGATATTATCTTATACCATACAAAGAAAAATACTTATCATATACTTTACATTCAACAGAACACCTTCCACAGCATCGTGAAGTTCTTGTGGCATCTGGCTGATGACAGCGTCAAGGTTGCTCAGCGTGCGTAACAGTGCTAGATAGCCACCTCTCTGGACAATGTTTGGCCTGTACGTTGAGTTCTCGCAAAAGCTACTAAGCAATTGGTCTCGCTGATATATATCAGGCATTTCCCATATTGTGACAATCTGTTCAATGTTAAAGTTTCTCTCCATGAGATACAGTCTTTCAGCAGGATGAGTTTGTCCACCAATAAATGACTGACCCAAAGTGGAGTCCATTATCAGCCTCATGTTATGATACTGATTAAAATCAGTTCGCTCATGCAGTGATATTTCTCCCCCACTGATTTGTGACAGTAAGTTAAGTGGCTGTTGTTCTGCATCCTCATCTTGGGCTTCTCGTTCACCTTCTGATGTTGATATTGTTAAATTTTCGGACACATTTATACCTTCTTGCTCAATGATGTGTCTCATATAGATTGACAGACTATTGGGTTCTTCGCACAGTCGTGATACAAGGTGTGTTTGGTCGGCTTGAGTAGTGTTCGGGACAGTGTCTTCTTCAGCTTGTTCTGACACCACCAGAGGAATGGCTGGAGCGGAATGTGCATCTGGGACAAGATGCCTACTGGCGGGCAGACCCTGATACTCTTCTTCACCAGGTGGCGCCACCTCAGCCTCAATGTCACCACCAGGTTGCACCATTTCTTGCTCAATGTCACCACCAGGTGGCAACACCTCTTGCTCAATGTCACCACCAGGTGGCAAAGTCTCCTCTTCCTCCATGTCACCACTTGGTGGCGCCACCTCATGCTCAATGTCACCACTTGGTGGCGCCACCTCATGCTCACTGTCACCACCAGGTGGCGCCACCTCATGCTCAACGTCACCACCAGGTGGCACCACCTCTTGCTCAATGTCACCACTTGGTGGCGCCACCTCATGCTCAATGTCAACACTTGGTGCCGCCACCTCATGCTCAACGTCACCACCAGGTGGCACCAACTCTTGCTCAATGTCGCCACTTGGTGGCAAAGTCTCCTCCTCCTCCATGTCGACACTGTCCTGAGCCATGTCCCAACTCCCTAAATCAGTTCTTGTAGTTGATGAAACAATGATGCAGCGAGTCTTTGGCAATCCCCGGGATACTTTCTGTGGTCCCTGGTTAATCACTGGGAGCTGTTTGATGCCTACAGATTGGCAATACATGCCATGTTGACTTTCTTGACATCATTTCACAACACATGCTCTGAAGCAATGAGCTTACTGTAATTTACAATTTTCTTGTTTGAAACCAAACTTAGAGGATGGTATTTTACTGGTATAATTATCAGGACATGTTCATAAAATCAATATGGAAAGTCTTTCGAGACAATGCAGACTTGGTTAAAAACACCCAGACATTCCACTGAGCAAGTTCCCTGAGTTTCTCCCGAGTCAGCAACGTGGGCCAGCTTAGATGAGATCCATTGGCCATTGCTTTGGTTACCAACAAGTCTAGCAGATGGGTTGAATCTGCAAACAACCAGTGAAAATTAGTGAAAATTCAGTGAAATATTGAAGTACATATCAACACAAAACCACAACTGTATTGTTATATCTTAGTCAGTCACAAACTCTATCCAGGAATTTAGCTAAACAGTGATTTATCTAACAGAGCTCCAGATAACTTTTTGGGCAATTGAGTTTTTACTCAAGGATATCGATATTAATTGGGTTATAACATTTTTCCATTGGGTAACCAATATTTTTTCACTCATCTATTCATCACTCTATTGGATTTTTCCCTAAATTAGTGAACCTTCATTGGGTATTCATGCATGCTGTTTTTATACATTTGAGTTTTCCATTTAATGCATGCGTTTCTGTATGCAAGTTAATTGAAAGTATTTGGGTTTTGAATATTTGGGGGTGGGGGGGGGTGGGGGGTATTTAATTAACGCAGATATGCTGCTTATCTGTAACTTTGATCAAAGATTCTAGTACCCTTGGCTGGCAAATTGGGAAAACACTTTGTCAAAATTTTAATTTTATTAGAATTTCAGATTTTCTTAAACCCAGGTATTTTGCTAGTGCATTCAATGCAATAATGTTAAACAGAGAATGAAGCCCCTTCCCCTTGAACACGGAGTGGGTGCGGGCTTGTCACTTCACTCAACTTTCATGTAGTGCTGATTTTAAGTACCGGAGACCACTATGTTTTCGACCCGTGAAGATCTGGGGTAGAATAGGTCTTCAGCAAACCATGCTTGCCGTAAAGGGCGACTATGCTTGTCGTGAGAGCCGTTCACGGGATTGGGACGTCAGGCTCGCTGACTTGGTTGATGCATGTCATTCTATCCCAATTGCATGGATCAATGCTCATGATGTCAATCACTGGATTGTCTGGTCCAGACTCAATTTTTTACAGACCGCCGTCATATAGCTGGAACATTGCTGAGTGCGGCGTTAAACAACAAACAAACAAACAAACAAACACTATGTTTTTCCTCCAGAATACTAAGATGGTCACATTCAGGTCAGTGTTGGTTTATCATGCAAATGAGCTTGTCCCAATTTTTTTTTTTTTTTTTTAAATTACATCATCAAGTCATTACTTAACCAAATAACCACAAACACATAAAATTGGGGGCAGGGTTGGGGCTCAAAATCATTTGGTTGGAAAAATCATAACTCCAATTTGGGAATTATTACAAACATTTGCCTCAAACATGAGGCCAGTTATCAGCCAGATTTAGACAAATACCAAATAGCTTTATAGTACTCAAAAATACCACGATTCTTCCACAAGAAAGTGTGATGGCAAATGATCATGATGTAACTGTCATCGTGGAGTTTGGCAAGGTTGACGGAATGCCCTTTTATAATTTCAAAACAAGTTGCTGATTTGCTAATCAAATATGCAGGGTTACTTCACAATATTTTGATGATACGCACATGTTTTATTTTTGTAGCGTATCTGTAATGTTCGTTGCATATTTGATACGCTTGGACTTTATTTTACTGCGTATTACTGCATTTCCGATGCATATTTTACGCAGATACGCATCTTATCTGGAGCTCTGTAGTCACAGACAAGTTGTACTTAGCTGGCAAGGCAATATGGCACAGACAAGACACAAATGTGGTCTAACTGCCATTTTTTGGGATTACACAACAACATACAAAAAAACGGACAAGCACAGATCAAATTTAGTCAATGGCAACAGGCAAGTACAAACTATGAACAAGAACATTGCAATGTGATCACTTTGACAGTTTTTACATTCAATGGTTAAAAGCAAAATACAGCTAAGCATCCATATCCCAAGCATCCATATCCCATATACATGCTTACAATCATAAATAGAATTTTGATTACTTTGGAAATAAATGATATCCACTAGTCCTAACCTGCCTATCATTTGCAAAGTTTCAATGATGAATGAAACACTCTGCACAAGGCATGCATACAACAGCAGACAACACATTGACTCAAGGTCACAAGAATAGTTGCTGATCCATGAAAGAACAGTTTAGAGTTTTTAAAGTATTAAAGCTGATGTTAAGCAACATCAATACTGTAAATACTGTGAATAATAATGTCTGCTCGCATTAACAAAGTGAAGCACTGTTTTCTGGACATGTTGGAGTAAACTGTCACGTCGGGTCCACTGTACATGGACGGAAACATTGACATGCTTAACAAAACCCCAATAACAGTGTAATCAAGCCTCTCGCCAAGTCTAGTGTCGAGTGTGTGCAGCAAGTCAAACAGATATGGCTGTCTTCATCCGGGGTGACAGTGTAATCAAGCCTCTCACCAAGTCTAGTGTCGAGTGTGTGCAGCAAGTCAAACAGATATGGCTGTCTTCATCCGGGATGACAGTGTAATCAAGCCTCTCACCAAGTCTAGTGTCGAGTGTCTGCAGCAGGGCAAACAGATATAGGGCCTCTTACAATCAATCAATGTGATCTATCACATTTGAAAATACCTTCTTTGGAATTTTATGCTCTTGACTTTCAAGAACTTAGAACACATGTCAAGGTTCTACTACACTAAATCCAGACCAGTTGTGACTGCTGTTTTCGTAGGACCCTTCAGTGCAGATCGAGAGATATCTGCAGGCTGTGATTGGATGATATTGTGTAAGATTTTTATGTCTTTTAAATGTACATCCATCCAGTTATTAAAACTGACCATGTGTTTCTATATTTAGTACTGTTTTTTACAACATGATGACTTATGCTGAATGTGACCACAGCTATTTTCAAGTAGGTGACATTTGGTGCGAAACTGGGGTTGGTGTGTTTAGCTTCCTGTTCTTGGAAAAGGAGCTGGCTAAGCTAGTCATTTTTTTTATTGCTGCTCTAAGGTCAAACTGTGCACACACGTACAGATAATAGCTGTTGAATGCTTAATTATTTATTTAAAAAACACAACGTTACTATAGAAATCTATGGGGAAACATTTGGTTGTGTTTAGGAAAATAAACACACAGAGTATTATGCAGCTGGACTGTTGTGACTTAATACCATGTGATGGAGTTCTAAGTTGACAGTCTCAGTGTTCAATGATTAGTTCTAAAATTTCAATGGTAGATGTAGTCCCATTATTTTCACGATGAATTTTAGGTGAGGGGTCAGCAATCTTATTAATTTCATATTTGTTTGTTTTTTTGTTTTTTGTTTAACTCCACACTCAGAAATGACATGCATCAACCAAGTCAGCGAGCCTGACCACCTGATCCTGTTAGTCACCTCTTGCGACAAGCACAGTCACCTTTTACTGCAAGCATGGGTTGCTGAAGACATATTCTACCCCACAAATTTCATGATGTACATGATGTTGTAACTAGAAAGTAAAGAGACAGTTAATGCCATATAATGCTGATCTCAAATCAGAATTCTGTTCCTCTGTAAATCAGATGGTGCCCTTGGCAAACGGTATACATCGCCGCTCGAGGATGGTCATCAAGATCCAATGTTTGCAGTTTAGGCCTTAGTCTAGGTCAAGTAGAGTGTCTGTTGGTCTAGTGAGCTAATCAAACAAAACTCAATATTAACACTGAATCACACTGGTCAGGTTGTACTGTGGCACCAAAAGTGTTTGTTGGCACCATCAGTAAATTCAAAGAATATACTTGGACTAAAGCAGTCACGCTTTTATACCAAGAATCTCATATTCTGAGATGTTTCCTGTATTACACATTAAGGTGTTTTTTTTCGTATTAAATATTTAGTTAATTTCCTTTTGTTTTCATTGGCAGGACAGTCTATACAATAACGGTAAACAGGTTCGGCCATGTTATAATCACCATATCATCATCACCATGTAATCACCACCATGTTATCATCACCACCATGTTATCATCATGTTATCATCCCCACCATGTTATCACCACCATGTTATCGTTATCACAATGTCATCACCACCATGTTATCATCATGTTATCATCACCACCATGTCATCATAACCACCATGTTATCACCACCATGTTATCACCACCATGTTATCATCATGTTATCATCCCCACCATGTTATCCCCACCATGTTATCGTTATCACAATGTCATCACCACCATGTTATCATTATGTTATCATCACCACCATGTTATCATAACCACAATGTTATCACCACCATGTTATCATCATGTTATCATCCCCACCATGTTATCATCACCACCATGTTATCATCATGTTATCATCACCACCATGTTATCATCACCACCATGTTATCATCACCACCATGTTATCATCATGTTATCATCACCACCATGTTATCATCACCACCATGTTATCATCACCACCATGTTATCATCATGTTATCATCACCACCATGTTATCATCACCACCATGTTATCATCATGTTATCATCACCACCATGTTACCATCACCACAATGTTATCATCATGTTATCATCACCACCATGTTATCATAATGTTATCATCACCACCATGTTATCACCACCATGTTATCACATTGGCATCATCACCACCATGTAATCATCACCACCATGTTATCATCAAGTTATCATCACCACCATGTTATCATCACCACCATGTTATCGTAACCACCATGTTATCGTTATCACAATGTCATCACCACCATGTTATCATCACAACCATGTTATCATCATGTTATCATCACCACCATGTTATCATCACCACCATGTTATCATCATGTTATCATCACCACCATGTTATCATCATGTTATCATCACCACAATGTTATCATCATGTTATCATCACCACCATGTTATCATCACCATCATGTTATCATCATGTTATCGTCCCCACCATGTTATCATCACCACCATGTTATCATCCCCACCATGTTATCACCACCATGTTATCATCACCACCATGTTATCATCACCACCATGTTACCATCACCATGTTATCACATTGACATCATCACCACCATGTTATCATCACCATGTTATCACAATGTCATCATCACCCTGTCATCACCACCATCGTATCATCACCACCATGTTATCATCACCATTTTATCATCACCAGCTTGTTATCATC